GGGGGGCTGCCCCCAGCCCGGCCTCCCCCCTCCACTGATGATCTAGCCTGATGACTTTCGTTCTTCTGAGCGTGCTGAAGCCAATTCTGTGATCTGAGGAGGGGGCTGCTGGTCTGGGGCTGCCTGGGAGGGCTACAGTGAAAGCAGTTCCCAGGGTCTCCTGTGCATGTCACCTGCCAGGTGGGGACTGAGGCAGCCTCCCACACCGGAAGCCAAGCAACTTGCCCGAGGTCATACAAACCTGTCCAAACAGGGTCTGAATGACCTAGCGCCTTAACCACGAGCCAGGTAGCCCCACCAAGTTAGGAGAAACACCCCCCCCACCCCCTCCCCTTGGTGCTTGTAGTAGTCAGTTAAGACAGGTTTTAAGCAGCTGTCTTATCTGTGATTGCCCTTATGTAGCATCCATGTCATCCTCCTTTCCCCTGCCCCGGCAGGTGAGAGCACGGTTCGTACCATTGCCATGGATGGTACCGAAGGCCTGGTGAGAGGACAGAAAGTGCTGGACTCCGGTGCCCCAATCAGGATCCCTGTAGGCCCCGAGACCCTTGGTAGAATCATGAATGTGATTGGGGAGCCCATTGACGAGAGAGGCCCCATAACGACCAAACAGTAAGTGCAAACTCTCCCCGGCCTTGTGGGTGGAAATACCAGGGTACAAGCCCCTACAAAGGGGCTGAGTGACAATTTTTAAATGGTCATGAGTTTGCAGCACCATCTCCATGGTGATATGGGGCCTTGTTCAGTTTGGCTGCAGCCAAACCTCAGGGGTTTTTTCCAAAGTCAGTGGCTTTCGCCCTTAGGTTTCTGTAGCGCCTTGGATCCAACCAGGTGCGGGCCCCCTTGCTCTAGATACTGCATGAACGCAGGGAGCACAGCGAGGAGGCACAGGGCTGCCTCCGTTAAGAGCTGTCCTCGAAAAGAGAAACCTCACTGGCCCTTGGTGCTTCCAGTTGCTGTTCCATTCCCAGGGCACCCAGCCTGTCGAGCGGACGTAATCCTGGGTCTCTGTATTGCAGGTTTGCTGCTATCCACGCCGAAGCCCCTCCATTTGTGGAGATGAGCGTAGAGCAAGAGATCCTGGTCACCGGCATCAAAGTGGTGGATCTGCTGGCACCATACGCCAAGGGTGGCAAAATTGGTGCGTGGCCAATCAAAGGGGTCAGGTGGGACGGGGCTGGTTTCCAGGTGTGAGAATTGACCCTGGGAGGGGGCCGTCACGTGGTTCATGGAGCTGGACTCCCTTTGAGAGCTTAGGAAGCCACCCCGAAGCATTGTCACCGGGGCAGATGCTGTGTCCTTTCCAGCCCTGGTTCCTTCAGTGATGAGTGACCTGATGACTTTCGTTCTTCTGAGTTTGCTGAAGCAACTGCCAATCTCCTGAGAAGGAAAAGGGGGGACAGGGAGAGCCTCGTGGCAAAGCAGCTGCTGGGTCGGGGTGTGATTGTGCTAACCCGCTGCGCCCACTTCCCCCTCGCCCAGGTCTGTTTGGAGGCGCCGGCGTGGGCAAGACCGTCCTGATCATGGAGCTGATCAACAACGTGGCCAAAGCCCACGGCGGCTACTCGGTGTTTGCTGGCGTCGGGGAGCGAACCCGCGAAGGGAACGATTTATACCATGAAATGATCGAGTCTGGGGTCATCAACCTGAAAGACACCACCTCCAAGGTGAGGGGGCGCCTCTGAGGGCCAAGCTGCTCTGCTGGATTCGCCCAGACACAAGGCGAGCTCCTGGACCTGTACAGCGTGCCCTGGCCAAGCCTAGAGCTTCGCGTCCGCCCCGGGGGAATGTGTGGTCCTTGGCTGCCCCTCACCACGGGGTGGGACCTGCTAACACGCTGACTCGCTTTGTGCCGCAGGTCGCCCTGGTTTACGGGCAGATGAACGAGCCCCCAGGCGCCCGTGCCCGAGTGGCTCTGACCGGCCTGACGGTGGCTGAGTACTTCAGGGACCAGGAGGGTCAGGACGTGCTGCTCTTCATAGACAACATCTTCCGGTTCACGCAGGCTGGCTCTGAGGTACTGGGCTGCAAAGGGCAGCAGAGCCAAGGTCACCTGGTCAGCCTGACTGGCAGGTCCATGGCCAATGAGCTTAGTGTCCACACTCATGTGTTCTCCTGGCCCCACCCCCGGTTTGGTTCCCTCCAGGAGAGTGGCCCTGGCTCTCTGGTAGTCAAGTGGGCTAAGACTAGCCTGGATGCAAGGGAGGGGAAGGGCTGCAGACACTGGGGAGACCCCAGGCAGATTTGACCTTGAGAGGGAGGGACTTGTCTGAGGCTGGCTGTGGCACGGCCTCGCTTGGTCCTGCCCATCAGCAAGGCTGCCCGAGTCTCTGCGCCTTCACCTGACCCCTCTCGGCTCCTTTCAGGTCTCCGCCTTGCTTGGTAGAATCCCCTCGGCGGTGGGGTACCAACCCACCCTGGCCACCGACATGGGTACCATGCAGGAAAGGATCACCACCACCCGCAAGGGCTCCATCACCTCCGTGCAGGTAACCGTGCTCTGGGGAATGGCTGGCCAGTGCCCCCTTGGGCACACAGGCCTCTGTGGGGTCGCCGAGAGGCTTCCCATAGTCAGCCCCCCTGGCAGCGCTCGGCCCTGGCAACCCATCTCCCTGCCTTCCTAGGCGATCTACGTGCCAGCCGATGACTTGACCGACCCTGCCCCGGCCACCACGTTTGCCCATTTGGATGCCACGACGGTGCTGTCTCGCGCCATTGCTGAGCTGGGCATCTACCCTGCCGTCGATCCTCTGGACTCCACCTCCCGTATCATGGACCCCAACATCGTGGGGCAGGAGCACTACGACGTGGCCCGCGGGGTGCAGAAGATCCTGCAGGTGCGAGGCAGAGGAGGGGGGGGCTAAAGGCCCAATGTTTGGGACATGAGTGGGCCGTGGGGTCCGGTTCCCTGCCATGGGAGCTGGGACTGGTCCCTTTGTCCATCTGGATGGGGGTAGGAGCACAAGTGGGGCGTGCTCGGGGGCTCTGCTCTGAGGGGCCCCTGCTCAGGGCCACAGGCTGGTCTGGGAGCAGCCGCCCTGGAGGCATACGCTGGGGGAAGGGGAAGCTCTGGGCTGCAGCCCAGGGGACCTGCCTGCCAAAGGCTTATTCCTCCCGGAGCCCCTGCTAGCTGCCGCGGCGTTGGCCTGGTGATGGCCAGCAGCACTTCTCCCCCTGCAGGACTACAAGTCCCTTCAGGACATCATTGCCATCCTGGGCATGGACGAGTTGTCAGAGGAGGACAAGCTGACGGTGGCCCGGGCCCGCAAGATCCAGCGGTTCCTGTCCCAGCCCTTCCAGGTGGCCGAGGTCTTCACAGGCCACTTGGGCAAACTGGTCCCGCTGAAGGAAACCATCAAGGGCTTCCAGCAGATCCTGGAAGGTGAGGTGCTGGGGGGGGCGGTGCTGTGGCCCACGGAGACACTCCCCTCTGCTCCCAGCCCCACATCTGCAGGTGGGACACTGGAGTACTGGGCTGCCTGGCAGAAGCTCTTGGAGCAAGGGGGTGTGGCAAATACAGATTCCTGTCGAGCTGCTGGGACATCACCCAGCTGTGGAGGGGCTCTGATGTTGGCTGCCCCTTGTGGGGGGATCCCAGGGATGCAGGGCCCCCTCCTCATAGCTGCCCCTTGCTCCCTCGCACAGGTGCCTACGACCACCTGCCAGAGCAGGCTTTCTACATGGTGGGCCCCATCGAGGAGGCTGTGGCGAAGGCCGACAAGCTGGCCGAAGAGCACTCGTGAGCGTGACTGGCTCCTTCTCGCCTCTCCCCCCTGCATCCCCCATCGGCTCGTGGCTCCCGGGGCCGGAGCTGGAACCCACATCGTCTGCAGAGTCTATTTAAAGTTTCCAATAAAACATCCATCTAAAACATGAAGCTGAATCGTGGCCACTTGTGGGGGAGCGGGAGGTCTGCATGGGGCAGAGTGGGGAGGACAGCAGAATTTACAGGGCTGCCAACTGGCTTGGAAGCTGCTTGTGCCAGCTGCTCGCTGGGCCTGGCTGCCTGCTTCCCTCCCCTCGGCTTTGTGCCCTGCCGGGGGCCTGCGTGCCCCAGCTTGGTGGCTGCCTCCTGCTTTGCACCCGGAAGGAGTCGAGCACGGCCCAGTCCTTCGTCGGCATGGCATCCGCCTGCCTGTGGTTCGTGAGCAGAGATTGGCCGAGTTCGCTGCTCGTCCCTGCAGGGCAGCAAGCAAGGGCCTGGGACTTGGGAGTGCCCAGAGGCTCCCTGGCATGTATGTTGGCAGCAAGGCAGCCTGTCTAGGGCAGCAGAGGCTCCAGCCAGCTCCCTACCAGCTCACCGCCTACCTGGGACAGGGAGACTCCTGGCCCAGAGCCATGGCAGGGCCCAGTCCTTGACCCAGCCCTCTTACGCAGCTGCTCAGCCTGGCTCTGGCTCTGGCAGCGGGGTGATGACGCAGCACCTGCCCTGTGGGAAGTGCTGCAGGAGCTGTGCCAGAGCAGAGTCCATGAGGGAGAAGCAGCCAGTAACTGGTGAGTGGCTGGGTCCCAGCATGATCAGCTGCCTCTGTCCCCTGCAAGAGCAGGAGCAGCTGGGCGGGGGATCTCTGTCCTATTGCTAGTTCTGTTCCTGGGGCGGGGATTCCACCCGTAGCACCAGGAGCGCGCAGCCTGTGTCCGTGGGCAGTAACGTTTGCTCCCAATTCTGCAAGCTCCGGCCCAAGTGGGTCCTGTGCAGCTGCACCTCTGGGTCCTAAAAGATCAGTCGCCTCGCCCTGCCCTGCCCTGCCCTGCCCTGCCGGGCTCAAAACCAGTGCAAACGCTGGGAAACGCCTGAGCCGGTTTAGTGAGGGGAGCCGGCCTAGAACCCAGGGCTCTGGGTGAGGTTAAGCCACTGCAGCCACTTTGGAGTTGTCAACGCTGTGCTGGGCACCTCTGTGACTGACATACCTGGGCTGCTGCAATAGGAACGTGGCTGAAATGCAGCCACCTCTGGATTGGAACGTGACAGCTGTTTAAGCTGCTGGGAGCAATAGGCCCCAGGGAGCCAAAGCCCATTTCCATCTGCCTCCAGGAAGCCAAATACTGTAAGTTCTGGGATGTAGCAAAGGCTTGTGGCATCGTTGGGCACTCGCCTGCCCTCACCCTCCCATGTGCCAAGGGAGCAGCCCTGAAGTGCCTGTCTCATCCCTGAATCCAGCTCTGCCCCCTCCCTCTAGGGGTCTCATCCAGCTTCCTCCACCCCTGCTAGGCTGGGGAGCTGTGGGTAGCACCCAGCTGGCTCAGGAGCCAGGGTTCACCCAGCTGGTGCGAGCTCGGTAGGGCCTGGGCTGGGGGTGGTAGGGGGTTTCCTCCCAGCTGCCCTGACAGCATCTGTAACTGGGGGAAGGAGGGCAGCTGGGGGTGGGCAGGGCCCCTTTGCACCAGAGATGGGGCCGGCAAGAGCCATGCAGGGGTCTAGATGGGGCTGGACACATCCTAATGGCTCCTAGTTGTGGGAAGCCAGGTGTGTGCCGGGGCCGGTCAGTCGGCGGGGCTGTTCCTGTATTCCTGGTGGCTGACTTCAAAAGGCAGGGGGGTGGGAAAGGCCTGGGGTGCTCCAGTGTCTTGCACCAGTTGTCTCCCCCTGACCCATTGCAGGCCAGAGCCCCTGAGTTACAGGGGGCAGCCCCTGGCAGTCATGGCCCTGCAGTTTCTATTTGAAACTGGGACCAGATCCCAGGGCACTGGCAGCTCAGCCTGCTCTGCCCTGCAGCATGGGCTGTGGGGCTGAGTCAGCCAGGCCCTGGCCCAGGAGAAGTGCCCCGCAGCTCAGCACACGCTGGCTCTGGCTGTGGGGCAGGGAGATGCAGGATTCAGCCAGGGAGCTGCTCTCCAGGGGGGTTAGCTGGCGGGTTACACACATGGCCGGTAACCGGAGTGAAGCCAGCTGGGGGGAGACACCAGCCTCCTGAGCACCCCCCCCCCAGGCCATGCTGTGGCAGGGGGGGCTGGGGGCACCCCCCCCCCCAGGCCAGGCTGTGGCAGGGGTGCCTGGCAGCACCCCTCCCCCAGGCCTCTCCTGTCACTTGCACCATTTTGAAAACACAAAAGAGCCATTTGCTCGGCTTTAATAACCGTCCCTGGAGCAGCTGGGCCTTTTGTGCGGCTGG